GTATTTTTCGAAATATAAGACGCACGGATGTATAAGCCGCACCCTTATTTTGAAGACAAAGTTTTGGGGAAAACTTTACTATACTGACTCCATTACTATAATTTATTTTTTATTATTTAGGGAGCATTATAAATAGTTATGTTTTTAAAAGAAAAAAAAAACACCATTGTTATGAATAACACATTCAATTGATCTAAAATATGCATGCCTATTTAAATATATTTACACATGGCTTGTGTATATCATATATATACATATATATTATTCATACCTTCGGTGTATAGGACGCAAGCAGATTTTGACATCAAATTTTGGGGTACAAAAGTGTGTCTTATACACCGAAAAATACGGTAGTTATAATTATGTTTACACGTGGTCAATACAGTGTATTCCTGTCATCATTACATGTTTAGATATTTTTACATGTTATCAATACATAGTTTATTCCTGTCATCACTGTAAATGTTGTTACAGCTATTTTTACATGTTATCAATTCACAGTTTATTCCTGTCATCACTGTAAATACTGTTACAGCTCTTTTTACATGCGATCAAATGGTGTTACAGCTAGGTTTATGTGGGATTAATACACAACTGATTCTTGTCACCACTGTAAAATCTGACCAACATAACTGGGAACTTGGATTCAAGAATGAAGATACCTTATGACAGTGTTGACTTCAGTCACTCCTACAAGGTCATCAAACCCCCAAGGTTAAACGAAATTAAGTTTCTGAAGAAGTACAGTTCTACCTTTTGATGCCTCTAACAGATGGTGATGTTATATGCAATAATAAAATTCTATACGATGTGTTATCGTGATTGACCACAGTGAACTTTCACTATTAGAATAAAGTTTGATAATTCTTTCAACCACATGGGCTTCTAAAGGGAGCTACATACAATTGTAATCAGTTATTATGTAGTACTTAAACTGTGTTTAGTCCCAGGCAGTGTAATACATTCCCATACAATTTATTTAATGTTCATTCAGAATAATACCAGGTAGTATATAATTGAGATATTATATAAACACACTTCATTTATCCTGCAACAACAATGTCACCTTTAACCTGCAGCAATAATGTCACCTTTAACCTGTAGCAATAATGTATCTATCAACTTTAACCTCAAACAATGTGTCTGACAGCTTTAACCTGCAACAATGATCTATCAGATTTACCTGCAACAATTCACCAGTCTTCATCTGTACCAATAATGCATCTATGAACTTTGACCTCAAACAATGTGTCTGACAACTTTAACCTACAACAATGATCTAGCAGTTTTACCTGCAACAATTCACCAGTCTTCATCTGTACCAATAATGCATCTATGAACTTTAACCTCAAACAATGTGTCTGACAACATAGATGCATTATTGGTACAGATGAAGACTGGTGAATTGTTGCAGGTAAAACTGCTAGATCATTGTTGTAGGTTAAAGATTGTTTGAGGTTAAAGTTATGTCTGACAGCTTTAACCTGCAACAATGAACTCCGTTTTTTACCTCCAATAATTCATCAGCTATCACCCGCAGCAATAATGTGTCTAGAAACTTTAACCTCAAACAATATGTCTGACAGCTTTAACGTGCAACAATTCACGTCTTTACCTGTACCAATAATGCATCTATGAACTTTAACCTCAAACAATATGTCTGACAGCTTTAACGTGCAACAATTCACCAGTCTTTACCTGTACCAATAATGCATCTATGAACTTTAACCTCAAACAATATGTCTGACAGCTTTAACCTGGAACAATTCATCAGCTATCTCCTGCACCAATAATGAGTCTATGAACTTTAACCCAGAACAATATATCTATCACATTTAATTTGCAACAAAGTATTTATCATTGTTAACCTGCAAAAACAGCATTAACAATATAATTAAACTTGTTAACTTTAAGAAACAGCCACCACACATGAAGTTGGAAGAACAGAATATCTCCGAGTGTTGTAGAATCTAGAAAAGAATAACTTTACAAATTTTTAATGTGAAGACTTCACTACTTTTTTCACACATATATATATATGTACAGTATTTTGAAGCAAGGATCTTGTGAGGATGACACTCTTCTGATATTCCTTGTGCATTATTACAGTGTATGATTCTTTGTATTGTGATAAACATAGAATGACCCACAACTTTTACATGTAAAATGATTATAAGAAATACTACTCTTCACCACTTTTCAGTTTTTTTTATTCCAGTTGAACAATTCTGTTTATTCAATTTCTAAAGAAGTGAAAAACTTCTTACAAACACTCTTCCTGTTACAAAAGAATCAAATTTCAGTTGCATCATTCGTTAACAAACAGAAGTAATTTTTTAAATGGTTTTCATTGAAAATCAAAGGGAGAAAAGCACACATTTTAGTAACATCTCGAACCCTTCTTACTCGAGACATTTAAATTTTCTTTTTACTCTGATAAACTAAAAAGAATCTTTATTTTCTGATCATTTCCGACTCATAAGCTGTTGATTGCGTGCCCTACTTTCTTATACAGTTACAAAACCATCATACCTGCTACAAAGTACTGATACACTTAAGTTAAGGAAAAAAGTCGGAACTACTTAGAACAGAATGATTATCAACTAGATACATTTATTTTTCTTCTGAATCTAACTTACAGCTATTTATTATCTACAACTTTAACAATGCATACTAACCTATTTAGGTAAGAAAAACTGAGGTTGAAAATGATCCCTCTTAGGAACTGGCTGGCTAAGGAATTTTACTGCTTGATATTTTCAAAATCCTACTTCACATTGAATTCCACTACTTACTTTATATGTCACGGAAAATATAAATAAAAAATTATACAAACTGTACAGTTAAATATTTACTTTAGAATACTGTTAACTATTTTACATTTTAGTTAGAAAACATACACCAGGGCTACAAAAACAATCTAGAATACTGATTAATATTCTAAATTTCACTTGGAAAACTATGACAGATGCAATAAAAACAGCTGGTTAATTAAGTTCATATAAGCTGCTTTATTTATTCTAATTGATTTCAGTTTTCCCAACAACTTTCTATAAACAGTAAAAACCAAAAAACACATCAACAACTTGCAGGATCTGCATCTTAGTAGCTTCACTGATGTCTATTACAAATAACATTAACAATCGATATGAGCCAACCAGGATAAAAGCTCAGTCTTGTAACACACAATACGTGTTGAGTTGTCAATTAATAAACGTAGTCTCGGGTTTGTCTTTAATATTGCTACAACTTTCCAACTATTCATAATAACCTCTTCTCTTAGGCTTAGGTCTTCATGACAGTATATCTTATGACTGATTCTAGTTAAATAAAAACAAACAAACAAGTCTTTTATAATTATTAACAAGTGTTACAAAATCACAGTTTATATCTTACAAACTTTTGCAGGGCAGAAAATGTACATCTTTTTAAGTACAGTAGCTTACCGATCTTTCATATAATTCTACAAAAGCATCAGAAATTATTAAGTGTTTCACATCAATTTCTCAAGACATATTAACACTTTCCCAGTTTTAAGACGTTACAGAGATGCAGACCTTACTTTCCTATCTTTGCTAGTCAGTAACATCTTACTTTCGTCACAAACAAAGTAAGTGGTCAGGAAAATAGTTTGTTTTAAGTGTTCTGGAAAATCTGAAATACAGCCAATAGTTTGTTGTGGGTACAACCAATACGTAAGTAGACCAGGTGAAAATCTGAAATACAGCCAATAGTTTGTTTTGGAGACAACCAATACATAAGTAGACCAGGTGAAAATCTGAAATACAGCAACAGTTTGTTTTGGGGACAACCAATACGTAAGTAGACCAGGTGAAAATCTGAAATACAGCCAATAGTTTGTTTTGGAGACAACCAATATGTAAGTAGACCAGGTGAAAATCTGAAATACAGCCAATAGTTTGTTTTGGGGACAACCAATACGTAAGTATACCAGGTGAAAATCTGAAATACAGCCAACAGTTGGTTAGAGGAACAAGTGAGATGGACAGTGTGCTTCTAGCTACAGCTTAATGTTTGAATTTGTTGATCACTGATGCTTCAAAAGTTTTAAATAAAGAATGAAAAAATATAAATTTTTACTAAAAATTTGCTAATCTCTACATAATATTATTAATCTATACATATGCACACACACACACACACAAAAATTCCCACTTAAAGTAAAACAAAAAAGTGGGGAACAATCTTAATTAATCTTGACTTACTGCTGCACCTCTAACTCTGCTACCCACAACCTCAGCTCTACCAACTTGTAACCAAGACCACAGGAGAAAATGAAGACAGTAATGTTCACAATGAGATCTCCGTACTTTCATTACAAGTCGGTCCTGCCACTTCTTCGTCAGAACTTCCAACACTTGCTTTTGTTGCTTCGGACTGTGATTCACCAATTGTTTCATCTTTATTATCCTCATCTTCACTTTCAAAACCTTCTTGGGCCATCAACTTTCTTGCCAACTTGACAGCATAGAACTCATTGTAGTGGACTTTCCTTCTATATTCAAAAGCTTTTCTATTCGCTAAGGAAAGATAAAACTTCTAATCTTACACAAAAATTGTGAACAAATTCAAAATATTTTCACATCTAGCCATATTTCATTTTTTTAACTAACAAATATTATTTCCAAATTCTTTTTTTAACTCAGTAGAAAACTTTTTATCTAGTCTTCCAACTAAATTTACATTAGTTGTAATAAAAACAAGTTAACTACATATGTTCATGAGGAATGTGAAAAAAAAAAACACCTGCAATTAACTTGTTTTTATAACGATTTTTGGGCCTATTGGTTTTCCAATATTTCACTGGTTTTCACCATTCATTACATTAATCTTAAAAGTTCTTGGGAAAGAAAGCATGGCAGTGCAAGTTCAATGTCCAGGCAAGCTATAAGACCTGGGTTAACCTTTTGAAGTGCTTGTAATTTTAATATTTTAAGGCAAGACAGAACTTTAAAATGTTTTTCAATCATTTTCATTATTGTCCATTATGGTATTACAGGTTTCTACACAATTTCAGAGATAATGATTCATATACAGTGTTCAGAATTCACATGTAATTGTAAGTTCTTCAAACAACTAGCAGATTACAAGAAGTAATTTTCTACTATTAACACTGCTATGAAATCACATTTAATTGTTGTAAACAGTCTGTTATAAAGTGACAAGTATTTAATGTAAACACTGCTATGAAGTGACATGTATTTATTGTAAACACTGCTATGAAGTGACATGTATTTATTGTAAACACTGCTATAATTGACATGTATTTATTGTAAACACTGCAATAATTGACATGTATTTATTGTAAACACTGTTATAAGTGACATGTATTTATTGTAAACACTGCTATAATTGACATGTATTTATTGTAAACACTGCTATAAGTGACATGTATTTATTGTAAACACTGCTATAATTGACATGTATTTATTGTAAACACTGTTATAAGTGACATGTATTTATTGTAAACACTGCTATAACTGACGTGTATTTATTGTAAACACTGCTATAAGTGACATGTATTTATTGTAAACACTGCTATAATTGACGTTTTTATTGTAAACACTGTTAATAGGTAACATGTATTTATTGTAAACACTGCTATAATTGACATGTATTTATTGAAAACACTGCTATAAGTGACGTGTATTTATTGTAAACACTGCTATAAGTGACATGTATTTATTGTAAACACTGCTATAATTGACATGTATTTATTGAAAACACTGCTATAAGTGAC